ATGTGGGCAAATGCGTCCGAATAAATATTGAAGGTGTGAAGGGAGAAGCTGCAGATGGAACCTCCTAATATACTCAGTGACCAAGAGCAATCCAGTCTCCTGGTACCGTGAGGAAAGATTGTGTGGATGAATGAATGGACTTGGAAGAAATATCTGAACTGGAACATGCCTCCGTCTCACTAAAAAACAGAGGGACTTGAGAGAACAAAATAACTGTCTAAGCCTAAGAAAATCACTCAGTGTTATTTTGACTTCCAAAGATTTCCAGCTGCCTGATGAAAGGAAAGGTCCTTCAGAGGTAAATGTCATCAGAAGTCTTTCCCTCTCCCTCCCCCCATTCCAAAGTACTAATCCCATACAAAGACCCAGAAGTGCTAGAACAAGTTCTATAGCATTAAAGTACAGTGGGTTTGCTGGTGAGGAAGCTCAAAGCTTACTAGAGGATGAAAAATGTGAGTTTGGGTTAGAGTCCTTATTTGGTGTTGTATTCATAATCTCCCTCCCCTAGAAATTAGAATATATAAAAGGATAGGAAATTGCCATTTGATTTTTAACCTTTCTGTTTCTCTTTTATGGCACTGTAGCAATCTAATCTCCTCTTGGGGGAGAGGCTTCTTTTCCCCTTCCTCCTCATCAGCTTTCCCACAGGATAAAATGCGAAGCCCCTAACGATATCAGCAACTCGTCGTTCCCTGATGGGTAGATTGTGGGGTGCCTGGCAGCAGTGCATTACTGTGTTCCTCGTGGCACGGTCCCGTGTCTCCTTCCCGCTCTCCCAAAGCAGCAGCAGAGAGTTGGGTGCAGCGCAGCAGGCGCGTGGCGGGCAAGGGAGCGCGCACCCTGCTGCCACCAGCTCCCCTCCGTACAGCCCTGTCTAGTGCAGGGCTTTTCCCGATGGCGTCCAGAACCACCTCATTCCTTTCTAGAAGATAAGAAGACCTTAGCTAAGGAATAAGATTAATTAGGGGGGGGGAAAAAGTAAATCTTTCCATTCACATGTTAAGGTCAGGGTGTGTTGGGCTTCCTGCATGGCCTCCCTATCACTCTCCTTAACCAGGATGCGAAAGCTGGTCACGTTTTGGGGTAGCCCTTTGAAAACTGTGTTTGAGTTCTGCAGTCAAATCTCAATTCAAATTTACTGCGGACATAGCTCTCTCTCATTTATCCATAAGTATACATGCAGGGTATGCCTCAGTAATGCCTGATCTAATAAGTGCCCAAGTGAAAGAAATCGCATGTCACTGCAGTAAAATGAGAGAGGACCCCAGATACTTCTTGCTTTTGTTGTAATCAGCCAATTTGTTCCCCGTGTTGTGACATTCTGGCATCTCCAAGCTCAGGTTTTGGACCGACTTGCCCGTTGCTTGGCCTGGGAGCAGGGGGATGGCATCGTGCCCCCCCTCCGAGGGCTCCCTTGTGGCGCTGGTGTCGCACGGGTGCTGTGGGCCCCTCCATGTGGGACGCGCTCATACTAGAGAAGTGAGAGCTTGTATTTACCTTCACACTAAAAGTAGATGTATTAAATAAGTGGCAATAATTAAATGTATTAAATAAGTGGCAATTTTTGTTTTTGTTTTTGGCCTTGTACTACAGGAGGAGCTGACTGGCAGAAACTGTGTGATGTGGAGCTCGGTTTTGTCTCTTGGCTCTCCTCTTTGCCTTCCCCTAGAGATTTGTTAGCCCAGCAGGGGCCTTTTAATCTCATTTTCTAATAAGGTAGAGAGCAGAGAAGACTGTAATTGATTTTTGTATCCTTTTGCATTTTTTGGTGCATAGCTTTTATGGAGGTTGTGTTACAAAATGGGCTTTAAAAAGGCAGGAAAGTGGCCTTTGTTACTGGAGAAGAATACATAATTTTTCTATTTTTCTGAACATGGTGTCTATAGGAAGATGCACTTTGCCAGTCAAAGGGTTGGTAAAGAAAGTAAACTTTTGCACATTTCAGCACTCCCCTAATGACAGCGCCATAGATGGACTTCAAGTAAGACTGCCCCAAGCAAGGTTCTTCTGGCCGCTGAGCTTGAGCGAGCAAGCGTCTTGGAAGGAGGACTGGATTATTGTTGTTGTGTAATTAAGTAGTTACAGACCACAGCAACTAGCTCCTGTAATGTGCATTTATTGCATACTTTTTTATACTGCGCAGGTGCTTATAAAGTACACGGACTCTTCACTTGAAAGGTGTTGAATAAATGCAAGCAATAATTGTTGTTACACACATAAAAGTGTAAGGTGTTCCTGCCAGTAGCCTTTCCTCCAAGGGGGATTTAATTTCTCTATCTGCAGCAGTTTTATTGCCATCTCTCTTGAGATGGGAAAGCACAGTATTTAAAGTTGATTTAGGCAAGAGGGAGACTCTGCAACCCAGTGAAAGCGGAGGGTTGTGCTGCCTCCTCCTCCTCTCTGGCCACTGCCTCTGCAGTCTTATGAAGAAGTGCAGCAGTTGGTAGGAAGGGCTCTGTGCAGTCTGCAGTCAAGAGACCCATAAGAAAGCCGAGTATCATCACATTAAATAATGCAGTGGCTGCTAAGGCTGTGAAAACAATCCCTCCTTCTCCTGGAGTTTAAGTGCAAGGATTTTTTTTCTTTAAGTGTGCAAACACTGAAATAATGAAACTGTCTAAGCTTCCTTGACATTCTTGTCAATGCCTAACTATATCACCAAAAGATCACTCAAATGAAACCAATGTAAAAAAGAAAAAGTGTAAATAGAGTCTGCAATCAGCAAATGGAAAACGTAAAAGCTCAGTTTTTCCTGCCCGATCTCATTATTTTTCACACTTATTTACTTTTCCCTTTTACACATGTTCAAGTGAAAAGATTGGTGTAGGTCATTTGAAAATAGAGCTTGGTGCAGTTACTTGCATCTTCCCCAAAACCACTTGCTGATGGTTAAGAATGAAAGGGTGTGAAATTATTTCTCGGAGCTGCTTTAGCTTTGTACTCAGCCCCGGCTCCATGCTTCACTTTACTGCCAGCTCTTTTCTGTCCAGCATAAAATGGTTTCTGGCCATGTGGTGTCTCTACTGCTGTCAAGTGGGGTTAGTCACTGGGGTTGAAAAGACCATATATTGTGCTCTGCCTCCTGGAAGTTCCGGTCTGCAGTGAACATCCTTAAAGGCCAACTTTGCCTTCAGCCACACAACTGCTTCACACACAAAAATAAGGGTTTAAAGCTGCTCATGTTGAGGCAAAGAATGAGATCCTGTAATCTTAAGACAGTCGAATGTTAAGGTAGAATCTACAATTATTTTTACATAATATAATATTAAGTTTTGGGATATGAGTACGCTTTCCATATGGGTAACAAATGCCACATGTCCTTTTATATTTTATTCCAGTTTACATCAACCAGTGCCCTGACCAAAGCTCAAGCAGGAGATGACAGTTTGAATTATTTTGTGAAGTACAATTAAGAATGTTTTTGTAACAGGCATTTGTTTTGCAGTTACAAAATTCATATGCTAGCAGTGTCCCAAGGCTTTTCTTGCTGTTTTGATAGCAGTGTTATGCTTGGAGTTGTCTTGTTCTTCTGTGGCCAGACCTAAAAACATGGCATATGTCTCAGCTCAGAAGAGGCTCCTCTCAAGCCCAGAAGTTCGTGCTGAAGTTGGGCATCATGGAAAAACCACCAAGTTTGTGTGAAGTTTGCTTCTCCTACGGTGCTTGAGTGAATTAGTTCCAGGTCTAGCCTGCTGACCACATGATTGTAGCAGAAACTAGAGTATTTTATATATCTGGAGTTGTTATATGGTTTTAAGGATCATTTCTATGAGAGTGTTTTGCATGACTGTGTTTTGTGTCGCAATTTTGGAGCATGGGGGGTGCCCGATCCTTCCCAACCAGATGTTCCCTCATGTCAAATATTGCTGCAAGTTCTGCTTGAATGTGTAAAATGGGGTATATGCCAGCGGGTAGATAATTCAGACAGGACTATTTGTGTTTTATGGCTGAACGTAGGCTACACCTTGGGCAAAAATAGCAATTGGGAAAGGGAAGGCAAGGCTGGCTCCAGGTCCCACAGCTGCGATGGGCTGTGTTTCACTTGCTGCAAGTGGTTGTGTGAGCTTGGATTGCTATTACATTCCTATAGTGTATTTAAATGGGCATAGGAACTATTTTTATTATTATTAAGAGGTAATGGTAGTTCAAGATAACTCTTTCTCTAATGCGAGAATCACAGAATTATCACAGAGAATCTGAATGTTTTGAATGAAAGGAAAAAAGTTGCTGTAGAAAGTACAAGAGAGACAACACATGTACGAGTAAAAAGCCTTTATGGACTCCTTTATTGAATTCCATGTGAATTTTTAAAAGCTCCTTCAATTCAGGAAAAAAAAAAAAAGTGCCACAAATTAGAAGTGGAAGGCAAATAGTGACTGTGTGACTGTTTCTGTTAGAGCTGCTGTGGAGCAAAGCTCAGGGTTCCTGCACTGCAGGGCATGAGAGCTGCTAAATGGAGAAAGTGGGGGGCATCAAACTCATTTCCTTAGTGCCGGGGCAGATAAAGAAAAGAGCCTAACTCGTGAATTATAAGTAGATGTTCCTGCATATAGGCATGTGTTTATGTAGTGATATGTTGAAAGAAATGCTTGCCCTCTTGGCTACTGTTTGTGAAAGCGGGTCCCGTTAAGCAGCCCCCTAGAATCAGCGGTGGCTGCTGAGGAGGCCGCTCTGCGCCCGCGCGCGGGGAGCCGTGGGCAGCCCCGGGCGCGCGCCGCTCTCACAGGCTGCCGGGCCCCGCGCCGGGGCGCCAGCTCGGCGGCCCTGCCGAGAAACGGGGCCAAGGCCTGAGAGCAGGAGCGGCCCCCGGCACCCGCCACGGCGGCTGCACGTGTGGACAGCAAGCCTGAAATGGGGGGATCTTAGTGTTTGTGCCTCAGTGACTGCAGTAACTGCTGCAGAAGGTTTAAGCAGCCTGACTGGCAAGCTGATGCAGTGGTGTTTTTTCTCTCTCTTTTTTTTTTTTTTTTTTTTTTTTTTTTCCCTGTCCTACCCTACAGACATACGGGGACTGCAGGGCTTTCTCGATCAGGCCTCCAGGCTGGGACTTGACGTGTCCTTGCAAAAAGTGGACAGGAACATCAGCAGAGTCTTTGCCAACCTCTTCACCACCATGAAAACGGAGGAGCTGAACCGCTACCGTGACACCTTGCGAAGGGCCATCCTGCTGCTCAGCCCGAGGGGAGCCCAGACCTTCATTAACGAGGTCAGTGCATGGTCCTTTCCACCTCTTTGCTCCAAGAACACCTGTTGTGACTTAGGTGCCAGGTTCTCAGCAGTGCTAGGTTTCAATGGTGCTGGCTGATAAATGTCACATCAGGTTCTTTGTCAGGCTCTAGTGCCAGAGAGCTGAAATATGGGGCACTCCGTGTAATACGTACTCGTAATATGTTAATGAAAATGGGACAGCACGGGCCAAATGGGCACTTTCAATATAAAGTGCAGGTCTGCCGGGCAGTTCCTTCTTTTTTCCTGGTTGTCTTCCATAGTGGTGTTTTCACTTGGATTTAAGCCACTGTCTACAAGTGACCAGAAGAATCTATTGCAGAGGATGAAAAATGAAGCCTCAGGTGCCTGGGGATGTCACCTTTGTGGTGGAAATGCCCAGGCTCGTGCAGAAAGGGCGCGCTGGGCTCTTTGCAACTGAATCATGGTGTTTCTATCAAGTCTGAAGTAGGAATTGTATGTTTGGACCTTTCTTAACAGTGTCTTGAAATCAACGAAGCTAATTAGGACAAGGATGTAGCTGTGGGGCAAGCTTGTAATTAATGTTGTGCTGGGGGCTAATTTTTGGCGTTAATTAGTCTTATCCAACTTTTTTTTTAATATTAAATAATGAATTCTATACTGTTTCATATGTCACAGTTGAAAATGCAAGTAGGATCCTCCTTATAACTTCAGTATATTCATTAGCAAAGAACTTAGCCTTGAAATAATTTTCTTTTAGGCAGACTGACCTAAAAAATTAAAATGTGGCTGAACCTGTTTCCAGATAGTTTGCTGCATCAAAGCCTGCTAAACTAAAGAACAGGAAGAGTGTGTTAAATTCTGATTTTTAAATTAACAAGTTGCCTTTATCCTGGCTAAGTGATGTAAGTGGGTAGCTCGGGAAGGGCTGTGCACAGCTGGGGCGCTCGTGCCCTTGGCTTTTGCAGAGGGCTTCAGCTTTCCAGTGACTAGGAGCAAGGTGGCCAACAAAGGGAAGGTGCTAAGAGCCAAGCCACGTGGGAGCTTCACCCACTGGGGCCGGGGTGTGCGGGCAGGACCCTGCCACCGGCACGCGCTAACGGCCTCCCCTCCTTCACTGCTCGCTTCACCTTAAAGCAGCGTGTGTTGTAGGCATTAAGGCTAATGATCTTGGTATTTCTCCAGTTCCCTGCAGGAGTTTAACTGTGGGCAGAAATGACAAGTAATTTATTTAGCAATCTTCCTATATTGAAACTGGATTGATTCAGAAAAGCTTTATGAAAGAAACTCCGTGCCGTAGAAGCGGGCTCTCGGGGGCTCAGGTGTGGCGTGGAGGGAGTCCCGCGCTGACGGAGGCCGATGGCGAGCCGCGGAGCAGCGCGGGCGCTGAGAGCTGCTCGCTGTCGGCAGCGCAAGCCCGGGTGGCTTGGGACAGCAGCTTTCAGGTGGAACCAAACACTTTTATATAATCGGTGGAAATGCGCCATTCACAACGTGCTGAAGGGACTTATTTCTCCTGCTGCAACCTGTGCGTTTCTATACTTATTAAATATTTCACGCTCTGGATGAAGTCATGACTGGAGCTGGATCGCTAGCAATGTTGTAGCTGAGAAGGTGTTTGAGGCTTTGAAACAATTCCTCTTCTCAGATCTGGGAAAAAGCTGGATGGCAGAAAATTGTAAACAGCAATCTGAGAAGAAAATTCAAAGACTTTTTCTAAAAACCATTTTGAGTATATTGATTTCCTCTTCCATTTTAGCTCAAATTTCAAGATAAAAATTTGAGAAGGAGTTGGATTTAAAACTTTGTTTCTATAAATTTGGGGGCTTAAAAAATTCCGTATAAACAGAGGTTCATCATTAATGTTATTAGTTTGTATTTTCTGTAGAGGAAAAGCGTCTCTAGTAAATCTGGCTTGAGTTGTTCAAAGTCTGTTGGGTATGTCTTCATACCCAAGGTGTTGCTCATGGGCCCTCCTAAGGAATGTAAATCACAAAACCAGGAAATGTTCCCAGACAGCATCTGGATGATGAACCCTGCTATGAATGTCCTTAATAAAATTTTCTAAGGACAGGTCATAGGCGTCACCTGCCTGCAGCTGGTGTTTGCTTCCTTGGCCTGCTGTGTTGGCAAGTGATGCCTTTGCCCTGTGAAGGTCTGGATGCAGATTTCGCTGGGCTGGAGGTGCAACAAGCAACCTGGGCTGCATGGAGCTGGGGACAGGTCTGCCATCGCTTGGGCTCCCAGCTACCTGAAGCCTGCAAGTGCTCCTTTGTAGGTTTATTTCTTTGGTTTAGTTTTTATTTAGGCATCATTTTTACTGACTTTGTATCCTCAAAGCCTGATTGTGTGGTGTGTCAGATTTACTGCATCAGAGATTATTGGCATTTCCATATATTTTCAGGATTTATTATTCTGCTAAAGCTGCTATGACTGTGTTGGAGAGGAGAGAGAAATCTTTTCAATTCTGTAGGTACAAACATGGAATCGGCTTTTGTTAGAAAGCAGAAGGTAAATACATTTATAAGACATTAGCTACCCCAAGTTTTGCATTAGAAGGTCACTTTGGGATTAAAGCAAACCTCATCTAAAGAATGTGCCCATCCTTAATCATTTTGAGAAAAATGTTCCCTCCTTGCCTGCAGAAATCCTTGAAGTGTTTGGCCGGGTGCCGCGGTTCACTTTATATGCAAAACCTCAATCATGAGGGTGGCTGTGTGACAGCAAAATGAGTTTTATATTGCCAAGAGTGGCCTGTATGATTCCCCAGCAAGGCGATGTGGAGGAAGAGGAGAGGGAAAATGGGCGCTGGGAGGAGATGGAGCCTTTTAGCTCTTCTGTTACCACCCTTGGCCCAGGAGCGGTGCCTGTGCCTCAGTAGACTCCCCTCTTTCCAGAGCCTCCCGCAGAGCCGGCCGCCCTTCCCCTTCCACTTAGCGACGGCTGCTTTTTCAGTCACGAGTAGAGGTGTATTTGTGTAGATTACTTTTATCATTAAGGGCTCTTCACTACAAGGTGACATCAGTGAATGGCGAATGGTTCAGAGAGGGTGACAAAAGCTGAAAGGACAGGAGAGCATGACCTGTGAAGGATGAAAAGGACGGGAGAGCATGACCTGCAAAGGTAGGTTTCAGGACCGCCCTAGATACAGCCCGCCAAAGGGAGTACCAGTGACAAACACTTGAGAAGAAAGATCATGAAAGGCGGAGGAGAAGGAGGAATTATTTAAGGTGCTCAAGGGTGGTCTAAGAGGAAGTAAGGCCCTGAAGCTAAACAGGGAAGGAGTCTGGCAGCGAGGTCAATTAGCGAGCGCGCGGCAGAGGTCGGTGAGGCGGCAGCCTCAGGAGCGTGCGAGGGAGACGCGTAGGTGGCTCAGGTAGGAGCCCTTCCTGTGGCCCCCGAAGGCTGTCCATGCCAGCCAGGATGCTCGGTGGGCACCTCTCGGGTGTGATTTCGGGTGCAAGTAAATTCAGACTTGGTGCATACTGTTTATTTGGAGAGATCTTTAACGTTGGTGTTTCCTAACGTAGCCGTGCAGTAACAGTTGTTGAGGTTCGCTCGGGATATGTATTTATTGAGACTTTTCTTTGCAACCATAGGTAGTATCAGTTGTTTTGTAGACTTGAGTCATCCTATTTTCCTGTATTATCACTCTGTCTTTCATAAACCAGCAAGACAGAGGTTGTAACAGAGCTGTGAGCAGTTATTGATCTGGCAAGAGAAGGAAGTCTTGGCTTTACAAAGACCTTCTGTAGCTCCTCTTCTGCCAGCTTCACTGACATGCAAAATTCGGCTGCTGAGGTGTCTGAGAGTCTCAGTACTTGCCAGTGTGTCTCACCTGCCACCTGGAGTTGGGGTGGCTGGTGAGAGGTTCTGCTTCTGCGTTGGGTTTTGGAGTCGTTTCACGGTGCTGGGTGGCCTCATTCCTTCTATGCTGCCGAAGGTGCCGAGTGGCCGGTGCCTGGTGGGCGCTGCTCGGGCCGCGCTTCTCCTTCCGTCGGTGACCGCAGCGATCGCTGGGCTGCAGCTATGGGAAGTATTTATAAATGTTGAACACTCGGCACCTGCCTGAAATGGTTTGTCATAAGAAGGAAGGACTCTTATTTTCTGGAGTTTAACAGTACATAAAGTTTAGTGCTAATTTTCTGGTGCTTTGCATTTAATATTGGCAAACATCTCTTCTGTATTTGTTCTAAATGTTCCGCATACTTGCCTGAATCTCTGTTCTGCAAACAGTATATAAACATCATGAAATACTGTTGAATAATTTAGGTGAAAAATACCCGTCGTTTGGTTTTAGAAAGAAATTTCTTTGTTTAAATAACTGGTACTGATTTGTGTGTGTGTGTGCTGGTAAAGAATTGTAGGAATAATAAAATGCTTTTTTCAATAGTTTAGATTAAGCTGTAACAACTGTACTCTTTTTCTAAATCCTCCTTTTCTTGTGTGTATTTGTCCTCAGTACTAAAGTCTTGTCTGATATTATTGACATTTGCAATAAAATCAGATTCCCTGAGTCTAAAGAGAATAATAATTATAATTAAAAAACAAACAAAAAATATCATTAAACTGTTTAAACCTACACTGAAAACAAACACTCGTTTTGGATAAATTGGCTTAAAGGCAGATTTTCTTCCATTGAGACAAAAAAAAGAACAATTTTATTAAACTGTAATCCAGGCTATGGGATTACTCCAGGAATAATCATTTATGCAGATTTGCAAGCATTGTGAAAAGGAAAAAAAAAATCATAATTTGGTGAATGAATTACTAAAATTTTGAACTGTTCACATGGCTTCATGCAAATTACATCCCTTTTACTACTGCAGGTGTCCTCAAGTGATTATAATTTTAGAAATCCATTTTGATTGTCTCAACTCAGAATGTTGCATCAGTTTTTGAACCCGAATGTTCCAAATCTGAGCAACATAAGGCTGGCATCCAATTTTGTATATCCCTAACAGTAAAGACGAGAATTTTGTGAGGCCTTTGGGGTTGGTTAAGGAACAATTATGGAAA